ATGATTATATCAGCGTCATTCACAATACTCATGATTATATCAGCGTCATTCACAATATACATGAATATATCAGCGTCATTCACAATACACATGATTATATCAGCGTCATTCACAATATACATGATTATAACAGCGACATTCACAATACACATGATTACATCAGCGTCATTCACATTATACATGATTATATTAGCGTCATTCACAATACACATGATTATATCAGCGACATTCACAATACACATGATTATAACAGCGTCATTCACAATACACATGATTATATCAGCGTCATTCACAATACACATGATTATATCAGCGTCATTCACAATACACATGATTATATCAGCGTCATTCACAATACACATGATTACAACAGCGTCATTCACAATACACATGATTACAACAGCGTCATTCACACTACACATGATTATAACAGCGACATTCACAATACACATGATTACAACAGCGTCATTCACATTACACATGATTATATCAGCGTCATTCACAATACACATGATTATATCAGCGTCATTCACAATACACATGATTACATCAGCGTCATTCACACTACACATGATTATATCAGCGACATTTTATGGTAAACTAAAATTGTGTTTTTATTATTGAAATTAAAATGAATATATATATATCTGTTCTCATTTTTATAGAAGAACCTTCCCAAATAAAAGAAATTCTAATATTTAAAACATAATAGGTAGTCACTAAACCATGTACTTTGACACTCAAGCAAGAGAAGAGACATGTTGGTTACCTAGCCTTGCACTGTGAGTATTTTATTGTTAACACTCTGTAAAATACAATTTTTTTCACAAATAAAAAAAGACAAAAAAAGAACTGCATACCTCATTTCTTTATATCTTTGAGTGGGCCAGCCAAGTTTCCACATACAGAAATACACATAATATTTCTATATAATTTATTTTATTTTATAATATTTTCACTGAATTTTTAGAATAAATTTACCAGTTACAAATTAATATGTTGGACACTACATAATCTTAATATTTTACAATGCAAATCCTTATATTTGTATCTGTTTCGAGACATTTGAAACATTTATTTTGGAAGCATAACAATACAACGACTAGATTTTGTTTCACAGTTTGCTCCCAATTCATATTGGAATATTGCCAGCAATAATTAATAAAGCTTGTTCAGAATACTATTTATGCCCGACATCATACTCAGTGGCTAGTTCTTAGGATCTACAACAGTAAATAAATAAACAGAATTCATTTTAATGCCATGTTTTTTAGACGACACCGTCTTATCGAATTTTGATTTGGACCATACCATTTCAAGCTGCAAGGTGTCTAAACAATGACTCAACAAACAATAAACACATCTTCCACCCACCACACAAATTTTAGCCCTATTGAATAACTAAGAAAGCAACAAATATCAGGCTGCATCCTGAAAGCAACGAGATAGCACATTACAACCAGTCATTACAAACATGAAATCCTCCACCCTTCCCAATACACCCTACAGCATTAATGGTTCCTATACTCATTTGCATCTATGTAGAACAAGCTTAGCCAATAGATGCACCTGACTCATCAAACATTTGACCAACCACTCATTCTAATTATTGTTGAGAGATGGCGCTATTTACTAATGATGAATTAATATATATAAATACTAATGCACGTACGGGGCAAAAATGTCAACCTGATTTGTAAAGTGTTGTGGTTTGCATATTTCTATAAAATAAAAAGACACTTGTCAGTTCCCCGACTGTGTAAATCATCAGAACACGTGGACCGTGCATATAGAGGGATTCTTCACTAACCAATGTGACAATTAGCATTTCAGCGATTTCGCTTTAAACAAAGTAAACAATGTGTGTTGTATGTGTCACATGAAACCCTTCATATGTACACCATTGCTAACCATTGTAAACCTATCGAGTGCCAGATTTTAATTCGCAAAAAAATTTAGTTCACCATTTTTACGTATTTTGCCAAATATTTTTTTTAAATTTTTGGAGCCAAATGGATATAATCCCCCATTCACTTTAGATCTTGATTAAAAAGAAGTTGAAAAATTGTAAACAAATTAGACGCTTGTAATTTGTGAAAGGTGCAACACTCGATTTGCCGTTCAAGGGGTTAATTTTTTTTTGTAGCTGGATTGTTATGTAAAAATCACGTGACAGATACATTGTGACACTTCAATTCAATTGATTATATGAAAAAAAACATAGCTTAATAGCTTATTTTAATAGGCGAAGAGACTATCTGGAGAATAGAATAGAATAGAATAGAATAGAATAGAATAGAATA